CAGCCGTAGTCCTTATTATCGAGAGAGTATTCATATCTGCAAGAACGGTGCCGAAACGCGTCTACCTCCACAAACGTTCGAAACTTTGCGCAGCTCGTCTATTACGGAATGCCAGATAAGGAAGAAGACACTGTAGACGAGGAGGATGACAAAATTCCCGTCAGACATCGAACACTGAATCACCTGCCATTGCCCTTTATAATTTCGTCTAACGTTCGTTCAGTCTAAAACAAACCTAATGAGATCGAAGACAGGCTACCTTTCAGGCAGGTTGCAAATGCTCTCCTATTCCAGGAGTCATGGCTCAATAGTAATACTGATAACTCCATCCTGCCTCTTTCTGGTTTCGACTCCTTCTGCCTGGATCGCTCATCAGAGACAAAACCGTGTGGTGTAGGTATCTTTGCTCTGGTTCGATAGAAATGGTGTCAAACACGAGGTTAAATTTTTTCTTGTCTAATGGTACCGACTGCCTATCTCTACGTTTCTGGAAAAGATTTTAATCTCTAAAAAATATTTCATGGTGGGAAATATTTATATCACACGTGACTGACGTTTCGCCTCTATATGAATTTACACAATTTCTGGTTTTGTTCCTGTGTTCAATTATAAATGAGAGTCTAGTCGTCTTTGCGGGAGACTTTGATAATCATAGCGTGAAAACTGTTAAAGCTGTTGTGCCTCTTGGCCTCGCAAACATAATTGCTTTTAATGCCAAGTGTAATGCTGCCCTGGACCAAGTTCTGACTGATCTTCCAACCATTTTTTCACGTCGTCGCTGAGGCACCTGTCGGGGGATCAGATCACCGCATTATTCGTACTCAGTCGATGTTCTGTTTGGCATCCAAGGGATGTGTGAGTAGAGTGTGCTATTCAACTCCCAAGGAAATCTACTGCCGAAACCACATGCACAAAGAATGTTGAAAATTTTCAACGACTCCTCTGAAGCTATAACTGAATTGTATTTCCTGACATCATTCAAAGCTAGAAAGAGCTTAACAACATCGTGCAGGAAATCACTACTGTTCTCAACGAT